CCCCCCTCACTGCTCCACCACAACTCTCGCACAACTGCCTCCCTAAAAGTCTGTCACGGACTCCCCTCCGTCAAGCGCTGTCACAAATTAGCGGGGATGAGCTTCAGAGCGTCTCCTGCTGCCGTAATGAGCTTCACACACTCTGAGAGGGTTTGAAGTTCAGTGTGTGTGAGCAGCACCTTCACACTGAGGAGAGTGATGGGAGCTACCCAGACATCTGCCATGGGTGCAGAGCATGATGGGCATTTATTAAGGCTTCATTAACACGGGGAGATACTGCTGCTCCGTGCTGTTTCAAAACAACATAGTTATTGCTGTACCTGCGTTACACAAGTGTGAAAAGATGAATTCTGTCTCCAAGGACAACCTGGCTGAACTGGTGGTTATTTTACCAAATGCAGACAGCATGAATGACACTGTTTATTTTGAATACAATTCTAAGTATGTCAAGTATGATAGGCGGTACAAATGATTAACAGACATGTACAAATAATAATAGGCCTTCAGCTCTAACATTCCTGAGCACCAGTATGATCTATTGGTATCCTGTATGGAAAAAGCAAAGACATTAAAGCTTTCAGCAGCACTGACGTGTATGTGTGCTCCTCAGGTTTTTAACGGTTCTTATTATGCTTCTAACCAAGTGCCAACAGCGTCTAAAACCTCCATACAGTGACTAAACAAGTGTACTAAAATGAATGCAGAGTTTGATTACTCTCTAAAGGTCTATCATTCTCCAAACTTTCTACATTCTACTCTATTTTAGTATGATTAAGTACAACACAGAATGCCCCCGGGGGAAAGTCTGTCAGATAGTTATCACAGGTTTGATGAATCATTGTGTCGAGAGCAGGAAGAGTCAACAGAGATCAGGGAGGCAGAGATCTGAAGCAAGGCCTATTCAGTGTGGATATTTGAAAGCGAACACAGGGATTTCAGCCTTTGCAGACCATTTATGCGCCAAAACCTATAGTAGGGCCTCTTTAAAGGATTTGGTTATCCCATACTTTGTATATGGCATCATAAGGGGTGAAAACACTACACCCCTGTTTGAGATTACAATCCTCTTTTCTTAGAACATTGATGAAATTGCCAGTAAGGATCCCATCTTGGCGTGGGGCATGGCGTACTTAGCTTTGAGTTCAGCTCCTGCTTTTGGTCAGCATGGTTGTTGAGAAATGGTTTGCTAAAATCAGTCCTATAAAAGCTTTGCAGGGAAAATATGAATATTGGAAAATCAATCCAGCATGGATTGAAATGGAAATGTCGTCTAACATAAGCCTGGCAACAGCTATCGGCATGGCCTGCCAAAGCCTTATGGGATCCATTTTGTGACGGCGCAGAGGGAAACAGGCCGCTTGTGTTTGGGTGCAGCAGAGAGTCTGAAACATGTCTGTTGTTGTGCCAGATCTCTCCAAAGTGAAATCTGAAAAAGAGCTCCTGACAGATCCTGAAGGCTTCATGTTTGCATTGATCAAAACAATGTCTGATGTATAAAGACGTGGATGCTGGGGATTCGCAGGGGAGGAGGATTTCTTTATTGGAGACAGAAGTCTTCTGGGAAGATGGCACAACATCCACCAACTGAAAATACATGTACACTCTGTCAGCTGTACATGTTAACAGTCACATGAGCCGAGTGGAAACATAGTTTGGTTCTGATGGCCGACAACCTGTCTATACAGGATGCTATTTATTAATTGTGACACAATTTAAAAGCAAAGTACACCAATTTAATGTATTTATTCCCAATTGTATTCTTGTTTTATTCACTTTTGCGTTGGTATTGAGTCTTCTTTTAATTAGGAATGTTACATGTAAATAGAAATAATTTTATAGTTTTTTATCTCTTATTCACTTTTGATGTAACAATAGGCGCGTTCACACCGGAGTGCTTTATATCTTGCTAAATAATTCAAACCTTATTTATAAAGCACAACAAAGGTAACATAAAGTGCTTTACAAACCAAAAATAGAAATGAAACAAACCCACCAATGTCTTAGTTCCGTTAGTGCCTGGAATTTTGCGTTCACACAAAAAAGAGAACTTAGTTCTGAGAACTTTTACCCCCATTTGTAGTCCCTGCTAGAGAGGTGGTACTATCCTGTGGAGAAACAAGTACCAATTTCAATTGGCTGGGCGAATTGCAAACCACGCCCCGTAAAATTGTATTTGCTGGCATTAGCATTATTAGCATTACCCCGCGCACCAACGGAGAGAGTATAACTTATGGCAACACAAAATAAAAAATGGGAGCGGTGGAGATGAGGAGGTGTCGGCGTTCTGGCGATTTACTCGGAAGGCTTCAGTAGAAGCTGCTGGGAGTCCCAGCAGCTTCTACTGAAGCCAGTCCCCAACTCTGGGGACTTCCGGCTGGGAACTTCCGGCCGGGAACTTCCGGCCGGGAACTTCCGGCCGGGAACTTCCGGCGGCAGTATACGCCGTGAAGTGGTTTGCGGCCTGCCTGTAAACCCAAAGCAGAAGAAGAAGTGACGTCAGCGGCTTCATTTGCGTAATCTTCCCTCAGGGAACTTATTCCGGTGTGAACGCGATCTGTATTTAGTGCAATGGGGGTAATAAGTGCAAGCACTAAGTGCGGCAAAGTACTTGGTGTGAAAGCGGCTATCTTACATTTCCCCTCTCTGGGACGCATAAAGGAATTCTGATTCTGATTCTCATCAATCACGAAGCTACGCGTTACTCTGTTTATTACCTGGACATTGGTGGGTTTGTTTCATTTCTATTTTTGGTTTGTGAAGCACTTTATGTTACCTTTGTTGTGCTATATAAATAAAGTTTGAATTATTTAGCAAGATATAAAGAAATGTAAAAATAAATATGGAGGACAGTATTGAAGAGAGGAAGCAAAGATATATAACAGTAAAAGTCAAACAGAAATGAAAAAGCATTTAACTAACAGACAATACTTTCTTCTTATGATGTTCTTCAGTGATTGCTCCTTTTCAGATGTAAATAATATAGTCTGTGTGGGGGGGCACTACATCATGCTTGTCCCCTCAGGAACTTTTACCTACAGCACTGTTTTTACTTCGCTGGGGGCCGTCGTCACTGCCAATAGTTTCCCCCCATGTGTGACCTCAGCACTCAGCACGTTTCTACATAACTGTTATTCAAACCACGGGGTGACGGGTTGATGTTATAAGAATCCCCCCCTGTGAGCTATGAGTGTCCATCACCTCCCCTAGACCCATAACAGAGAGACGGAAATCACTAGCCTCCTTCCTTTCTATACCCAGGAGAGAACGCAGCACCTGGGGGTGAATTCAGTAAAGGTTTGCAGGGATAAACTTGTGTGAGTAGGACAAAAAGAAACATGTTATTCTCTTAGTAAAGACAAAGGGTAAAACGCACCGCCAAGCAAATATTGTGCCTGTGTTTCTCTGCTATCGACACATATATCTATGAAACTGACACCGTGGGATTCACAAAGATCAATGCTGATAGATATATATATATATATGTCATATGTATAGCATACAGTGTGGTCATACTGTAAGAGAGCTGATAGTCATTTAGGCGCATTTATAAGAGGAGCTCTTATTGTAGGATATAAATGAAAGCTGAATCATGAAAATGACATGCTTCCCTACATATACTTGATTGAAAGTTCATAAGACAATCTCATGAATAAATGAATGGAAAATAAGATTATTATATACAAAATAAAAGAATGATCTCCCTGATTTCTAAATCCTGGTTTTAAATGTTTCCCTTTCCTGTTTCTTACGTGCCTTCAGAGGGGGTTTGGTGGAAGATATGACTTCAGATAAAGGAAGCATTATCCTCAAGCCCATCCATACTTTACCCATCTGATGCAAGAATATGTCAAATTAGCCTGCAGAACTTGATGGCCGTGTCTTGTTTTCATATAATATAGTTTATGAATGGGGCCTTGGGACGGTTGCATGTGATGTTCATTCATTGTGTTAGGAGCGGCCCGTTCCATTCTGTGTGAAATGTACCCTGAGCGCCGGAGCTGCTACTGACTCAGCACGGTTGTAATAACATGAATGGAACACCGGCTAGGCAAACAACAACTTTCTGAGTGGAATACAAACTTGACAGCATGATGGTCCTCTGACATTAACCAGTCCCCCCATAGAAATGTGTGTCGCCTAGTAACGCCTGTTTTCAATCGACACTCAAATTATGTCATGGGAAACATTTAATAGCTCGCAGCTTAGACATGGTTTCAAGAAAAGCTGATTATAATATGAGAAATACGTAACATGTCCGATTACTAACTGATTTCCACTTTTCAACACACAGGTAACATTGCCCAAAACCTAAAACCTGCTCGACTTAGGTAATCCTTTCTAGCTGTCAAACGTATCATCATGTAGCGACTTGAAAAGTCACATAACAAGGAAACGACTGACATGATGACAGACTCGACCTCAGGCACATTTCAAGTCCCTGCAAAGAGATCTTCATTCCAAAGAGCAACGTTTTATTACACCGCTTTGGGATATTCTCACAGGGCTTCAGCGGTTTGACTTTAATTAAACTTCTGCAACAGGCGGTACTTACTCATCGTCTGGTGTTAGCTGCACTGGTTCATTAGTAAACTGCGTGTCAAAGTTCTCGAGGCCGTAGTCGTCAGTGATTTGAGGTTTGAAGGGCGGCGTCATCTCTTTCTTCTCCAGCTGAGGGAAACAAACACATAAAGCTGCTGTTATACATAAAACATTTTTAACTAAACAATGGAGAGTGAGGACGATGTGGAGAAAGAAAATATGGAAAACAAAAATAAATAATGTGGTTTAAGCTTTAACGCCGGGCATTGATTTGCTGTGTGGAAACCTGCAGAGAGCCTTGAACAGAAGCAGCACTAACTACCTGAAGATGTGGAGTCTGATTTGAGCTCACACTTGTGACATGTGCAGTCTTTATAATGAATGAAGCAAGCTTTGTCAAACTGAAGGACAGTAGAAATGTTGCTGCATCACCAACTTGCAAACTACTTATATTTTATTCAATGTTCAGGATTATTCTTGTGATAATTTGCACAAAACATAAACAAATTTAAGATTCTATTTAATATGTTGGCGAAAATTATGTTAAAATTCCTGTCTTTTAAGAAATGGAAAAGCATGTGTTTTGATGAGGTATTCATTTGTTACTAATTATACACGTTTACTCTCTTGGCTTTGTCACTACTCTACTGCCACACACAATTAGTAAGTCTTTTGTAGTGGCAACAACAGACATACAAATGGCCGCCACTCTGACCCTCCTGTTATGTTGATTTGAGAATTTCCGCTCTACTCTCATTCAAGTTTTTTAATTAAGCTTTCTTACTGGGCATGCTAACAATATTTCCGAACCTTAACGGAGACTACAACATGTTGAAGTCGTTCTCTACTCTTCTCATTTGTTTTGAAAAAAACTCTCCAAAACCTCCTCTTTCAGAGTGTGGAGCTATCCAAACCATGACAGCCTCCTGAGCCTGGCTATAAGCAGGGTGTATTGTGTGTGTGTCAAAGAGTGTCATATTCTCCTTCTGTGCCAAAGACCTTCATTATTGTCCAACAACTATTAAAACACATCACTGAGCCACACTGGCTCTCTTTTGTTACCACTCACACACTGCAGTTTATTTGTCATGCAATCCCACACACGCGCGCACGCGCATGCACACACACACACACACACACACACACACAAATCTTTCAATCTTCATTAAACTAAAGACTTTACATCTCACCATACAGTTTCCATCACTCTTTGGAGTCTCCTTCCCCTCCCTTCCTCTTCCCCTCTAATGATGATAAAATGATCGCTTTACTTGAATGTGTCTCTCTGCGTTTAAATATTTCTGCTCTCTTGCTTGCTTGAGCATCCAACGCCTTTTCTTCCTTTTTTTTTTACACCAGCCTGTAATCCCATTTGAGGACTAATCCTTCTGATGGAACCACGGCCCATCGACCTTCTAACCACCGCTGGGCCAAATTGGCAGTGGCATGATGAAAAAGTGAAAGGGTTTGTTTTTTCTGTTGCTCCCCTCTCTGAAAAGCCACTGGCACAATAATGACAAAAGACTGATTTCATGTTGTTTAGAAAACTGGCTGACCTATCAGTGCCCTAAGACCCGAAACAAACCAGAACTCCAGGAAATAAACAGCTGGCTAAGGGTCGGCTTTCTCATTTTATTTACGGACAATTGACTGTGACTACGACATGCAGAGGATCTCGTACTTGTTTATGTCCTGTTTCTAGTAGAGATTGGTCAGCATACTTTATTTCTGAAACACTCAAATGGTCTGTAGCATCAGGTCTCACATTTGACCTGAGAATCACATTTCAGTGTTTGGCCTGCGGCACCTAAAAGCTGTGAAGTGTCCTGATTGTCACACTATCAAATAAACCAGAAGAGTGTTGTTTTCCCAGTAAGGGGTTACATGTCAGTGATCTGCAGCGTTCTTCAGTCACTGTTCTCCTGAAATGAGCTGATGTAGTCACCAGTGAACAACAGGAAGTGCTACCAAAGTCATTTCCATTGGCAAATAGGTTTTTAAGTATTTCATGCTTTTGATGACCTGTCTTCCACTCCACAGTTATTTTTAGGTTGAGAAACAATCATTATGATGAGATTTGAAGTGAGTAAAACAGAACAGGTCTAGTTTTCAATTTGACATCAATAAGGTGGAGAAATACAAAATGTTTTTTCTCTGTTCAACTGTTTTTACCAGAACTTCAACAGAGGGTACTTCAAAGCAACAGAAGCTACTACCCCCTGCACATGTGTAAAAGCTCCCACACACACATTTCAATAACGACTAAACACACACAAGCTTACACTAAGACAATAGATAAGTGCTCACAAACAGACCCATTCACTCTCGATGCATTCTCACAAAATCACAGCATAATGCCACACACAAATAAAGCAACTTATAATGAAATATGCACACAGTGAGATCAACACACACACACACACACACACACACACACACACACACACACACACACACACACACACACACACACACACACACACACACACACACACACACACACACACACACACACACACACACACACACACACACACACACACACACACACACACACACACACACGGGTGCAGCTCCCAGGGCTCCAGCAGGGAGCTGCCTTAACTGATTTATTAAGAGCTAAACGCGTCATTAGTGTAAGCGGCTAACCCTGAACATTGGGCTCATTAGAATATGCAAATGCTGCGGTATAGCCTGGCAGAATGCTAGATTGCGAACTGAGGCTTTTGTTATCAAAGACCAACTGCTTTTATGGCAGCTATTCTTTAACATAAGTCCCTGCTTTAAGACTAGCTTTCATCAACGTGGCCATCTGCACGCTGTGTGGCTTAAGGCAGAATGTTGGGTCTAACTGTAACTGCCTTATGTCAGAGTTGGGTAGGGGGTGGGTACATAATTATAAAAGTTTGTATAGTGCTGGGGGATTAGTTATATTTCTTGGGAGGTATACGTTAAATGCCAGAGTGGGAATACTCTTAATGAGATTTGTATTCAGCTGGAAGGAGGGTGCATTCCTTTGGATGTATAGTGCATCTCGAAGTAGAACAGTTCTCCTCTGAGTTTGTGTTCAGCTGGGGATTTCAATGGTTGAGTCAAATCAGAGGTGATTCAGGTGTATAAAGGAAAGTCACATTGGACAAGGACAGTCAATGGCCTTGATGCAAAAGAGATAACTTTCCATTTTTAAGAAACTCAAAAAGCAGGCTGTTTTTTTACTCACTTTCCAATGAGAATGTGTCAGTGGCACAGGCTAATATCTTTTTTTCCACAAGAGTTCTATTTATCGTGCACTACAACTTAGTATTATAATGCACCTCCTTCTGTGTGAGTATTGGATTGTTTGTGAATGTTGCACCACTTTTGTTTTAAGCACCTATCCTAAATAATACAATATGTCCATGTCAGTATTATTAGTAAGGGGTGATATTAGGTTGCTAACTTCAGTAAATATGAGTGTGTGACACTGATTGACAGCTCTTACTGGTAATGCAGACATATTGAATGATGAAGCTTTAAACTTATTTTACCTCTCCAAGTAAGTTTCACATAGTTGTAGCTCCTGATGTTGTCCTAACGATGACATATGGCTACGTATCTCAATAATGATAAATACTTCTCTGGCATATGGCTTTTTCTCCTCCTAGACCAAATCTGCAGCCCATTAAAGCACAACTTTATTTTCAATTATTTTATAGTAGAACAAAATCTAAATACTGATCATATGTTGTATTTCTACACACAGGAGGGGAGGATCCAGTCCACACAAACACCTCTCTTAAACACCTGGGTACCATCCTCTATCTGAAGGACAATCATCAGGATCAGTAGCTGTGAAGAAGCTCATAAATCCTGGTTGACTTAGTGACAAATGGGAAGCACCGAGGACCGGGGATGAGCCATCAGATATGACAAGTTACCCTCACACATCACCTCACCCCTGGGTGTTTCTCCTATTCTTTCTCTATCTTTCTAACTCTCATCTTCCTTCAGGCTATCTCTCTTTTAGCAGCTCTTTTTTCCCCAGCACTTAAAAACAGACTGTATGATAGATGACTCCGAACCTCATCTGCAGCTGGACAGGAAGTCCTCTCCAGAAAGGATGAGCCAAGAGTGTCCCTCTAAATCAACACTCCAAGAGATTAGTGGAGGGGTTTGTCCAAAGTGAGGAATAACACAGCAGCACATATTTTATTCTACAGCAACAAACACACATACAAAAAAAAGATACATCACACACCTCGCATGTTAATGGAAAATGTCCTATATGATCTGTTCACGCTTTACTGTATATTGAAGAGCTGAGGGTGACATTCATTGATGACCTTTTCCCTCTTCTTGTTCCACTTGAGACACTCCTATCCCACCTATCCTACTCCATGCGTTTTTTCTCAAGGCAATCATTTTCCATTTGGTTCAATACCAGAACGACCTTCTGTGCCACTGCCTTTTATTTCGAACCAGCCACAGTAATTATGGACCACAATACGCCAAAATTAAAGCCGAGCATCATTATGTCAGTAATAGCTTTTTTCATTTGACCTGCTTCACTACATTTCCCATCATCAACAAACTGACTTTACTGCCAATAAATAATTTCCCTTGTTCTCCACTTATTATCCCTCCCTGTCTGTTTGCCTCATAGAAGACCATTCTTTTATATCGTATAGTAATATCTTCCTCAGGAAATTACCGGAAATGATCTGCCATGTTAAACATTAATTGAACAGGCGGACCTACTGTATTTCAACCCGCCACAAGCGAGAGCAATCTGTTCACAGAACGAGTTCATTTGCTTGCAGATACTTCCCGCTCGACTACCTAATAACACCAAATGCAGCAATGATTCAACACAATAAGAATGCAGACATATAAATGACCTATGTCAACCTTGCAAATATTCATTTTTCTTATCCTTTATGCAGAGGGGGGAAATTGGCCGGGGAAATCCCGACAAGAAATGTCCCTGTTAGAAAAAGCAAACAGCTAATTACTCTGGAAACACGCTGTCATCCTATTTGATTACCCAACTTGCATACGTATAGCCATAATATCTGTCCGTCCAGTAGAGGGAAGCCACACTGTCGTCTTTTGAGGAATCTGTCTCTCTGGGTGTCTTCCCCCCCCCTGTC